TACCAGCATTGCAGAGATATTGCTTCGTGTAAAATGGAGACAATCACTTGTTTGCTGTGTGGAACCCGTTACGAGGACTCATACGAATTCCACTGAAGGTTTTTGGGGCCGCTTGAAAAACAAGATAAGGGCTATAAATGGATCTGAAAAGGATCTCATTTACAGCCGTTCAGATGAATATAAGTACAGGATGTGCTGTGACTTCGCCATTGACAGTCACATGCTAAACTGAGGGATGTTTCTCTCACATATTCGAGAAAGATACTCCTTGTAACCGTTTTATCCTTCTTTATGCTTTTTTCTATAAATATGCGTTTCCATTCATCATATATGCCTATTTAATGTGATTTGTCCGTTCAAGGTCGTTTGCTGATTGGTTGCTAGTGGTGTCGAAAGTTTAACTTTGCCGAATCACCAAATAAGTACAGCATACCAACCTATAGACATCCTCATACAAAGTGGTTGCACCTAAATATACAACCAGCAACAGCCTGGCAAAACTCCTGTGGAGTCGTTATCATCCCTATGAAAATTATTTTCTACAGAAAAGTCAAAAACTGAATCTAGGAGACATTCTCAACTAGGATTATGACTAGTATCTGCTTGTAATGCTGAGATATCTGATTAGTCAAACCAAGGTCATTTGATTTTGGTGTCTGTTGTTTTTCTTACCAGGTGTCTTACTCCATCAGTGACCTTGAATGCGCGGGATGACTTCATTCTCCAATACCTCCTCTGATTTGTTTTGCTGCGGGAAGTTGAATTTTTATTAACGCGCCGTTGGTTGTTGGTTCACAGGTTTCTTCGAAGTGGACAGACTGATTTCTTGAGTGAGACATTTCGTTCTTTGGAAATGCAATTTCATGCTGACTCATGTCAAAATTATGAAAATTCAAGGAGTACCTAAATTGTTGTTGAGAAATTATGGGTTATAAATAGTGTTAAACCTTCACATCAGAAATTCTGTACATTGGACGCAAAACTAAACACATGTGCCTTTTACGTATTTGACAATCTTTTCCTTATCAGTCAACGTTTAGCAATTGCTTAACGTTGGCACGAAGTGTAGAATTGCACAGAGTTGCTGACACCACTTTCGCTTTCGCTTCGAAAACTTAACGTCTAATGTGACAACAAAATCCTTCCAAACACAAAATACAGAATCAACTACTTGGAGAAGTCGGTTCCCAATTGACCACTACCGTTCTACCTATATAGTCAAACTGACGAAGACGCGGGTATTTTGATTTGCGAAGCAAGCCCTTTATCACTGTAATGAGATAAAAACTACCATGTTACCACTAAATGAATTTCTTATTTCCTCTTTTTCAGAAAGAAAGGCTGGCCTGGCTGTACTAGAGCGAGAAGAGGACCGGTTGTCAAAACTCGTTACTAATTACGGTATTTAGCTTGTACCCGGACAATTTAAACCTTGCGTGGTGGAATAAAAGACCTTTTCTTCCGCATCTTCGTCTTCTTCCTTCATTGGGTGTGCCTGTTTCTTCTGATTGTTACAATTACGTCATGGTGATTCTCCAACTTGTTTTTGTGAAGTGCATCAAAAGCCTTTTTTTTGTCCACTTTGACTCAGTTAATTAGTTGAGAAGTGGTTATTTGTGAGTTCTGCCATATGTCTATACCACTTGGTATAATTAATACGCACTATTTATGTGTCTGGTTGATCTACAACATATACTGACATGAGTTGCATTAATAAATGGACGACCGGAATGGTAATGTAATGGCTGAATTCTATGCTTTCTTAAATTTCCCACTGGCTGGTCATCTTTGGTTAACATACATTTATAAATGAAATGTAACACTAGTTTATAATCTGGTGATCAACAGTCTAATAATTTGTTTTTCTATCTGGCTTACGTCTACTTCAACACTGCGTACTGATCAACGTGCTCACTTCTAACATGGACATGATGTGACACCCGTTTTATATCTCTTGTCTGAAGTTTCATCAACCGGTTATGGTAACGGTCGAGTGTAAGATAAACTAAGGTATTTACTAGAATGACAGATCACAGTAATACTTGCGCAAACTCATTCGTTAAAGCTGTTGCAATTCGCTAAATGTGCTAAGAGTAAGTTAGCTTCGTGGAGATGTGGTTCATTGGCTAGAACTAGGACACCATCCAAAAGGTGGTGGATTAAGCTTACGGTTCACACCATGTAAGCCAGGGCAACTGGGTAGCATCATTCGCCCTGATACGATAGGTGTGGAAGATAATGGATCTATATTGAGCATCTGACTGCTAAAGAATAGACAAATGCTGTAGAATGGCATACATTTCATGGGTGGATATTACGGACAGGAATATTCATTTATTGTTAATTGAATGTAGGTCTAAGTGAAGGATATTCTTTCTAGAATGTTCTCTTGCAGTCCGTAGTTATGAAACAATTTATCACAGTAACAGCAGTTGTGTATTATTATTATTATCGTATCCTTTAATTCCTAGAGGAGCATAGGGCTTTAGCTGCGCATCTCCATTGCCTTCTGTTTTCTGACAACGTTTTCACCCCGCTCCAAGTCTACCCACACGCTTTCATCTCATCTTCACATGACCTCCTCCAAGCCACCCTTGCACTGACGATCAACTCGTCGCTTCCTTTTTGGGTTCCACTCGAGCGATGGCTTGTCTAGTGATGTCACTTGATGGTTTCCTCAGTGTATGGCCAATCCATCTCCACTTCCTGCCTATTTGTTTCTCAATCGGTTCCTGGTTGGTTCGCTCCTATCACGGATCTGAAATAATATGACCTTAGAATTTTAAGATGATAATATAAACGGTATTTGTATAACAAGCGGAGATTATGATGAAACTGGGCTGAAAATAACTGATATTTTGAAATGACAATTTTGTGAGTCTTAATCTTTCATCAGGATCCTCAAACCAAACACTTCATAGTTTTCTAAGTGCGTCACATTAGCTAGGTACATGCAGTAATAGAGGACTGACTTGCTATTTTGAATTAAAGAAGGATGAACACACTTGCAGGTTTTTGATAGTACGAGCTCGTCTTATTTCGTGCATTGATTCTCTTCAACACTGCCTACATCCTAAGGAAACCAATTAAAAGTTACAATATAGTCCGAACATACTTTTCACAATGGCTTCAAGTTATAGATAGAAAGTATAAGCAAAGGTGATGTAAGTAGACAGTTATTTAGTGTTAAAAGACAATGGAGGAGACTTCGGATTTCGCTTGGATACAAGGATAAACTAGAGAAAAAAAAGCAAGGCAGAACAACAGAGTCAATTTATGCATTATATGGTGGAGAGTTGAAAGGTTCCTCGCTTGTGATTGTTTCTAATACATTTGCTATGATATATGTCGGCCTTGCAGACCAACAGTTAGATACTGATTAGCTATATGAACTGGTCACCGATTATCATGACATTTCGAATCTTGGTGCAGCTCATATTGTACAGATTAGAGAATTCACTTTACTAACTGTTGTCGGCATTTTTCTCCCTTTCCGCTCCAATTGGAACATAGGGCTAGAGCTTTAAAGTTTCAGTAGCAGTAGTGTTTCTTGCCCTGACGGCCAACCTTCCCTGTCTACCGGTCTTAATTCCTCCTAGGTAAGGTAAAGGAAGTGTGTCGGCCGGTGATCCAACCCCGGAACATTTGCTTGGTTGACCTAGCTGACTAACTGACCGGTTTTAGTGTAGAACCTTGCACGGATATGTTGCAGTTCGAGTTGCCACACTCCACACAAAGTAAAAGAAAACAGTAGACGGATTGATAAGAGATGTAGAGATAGTAAACAGAAGTGTGCGTGAGGCGAAATGAACAGTAATACAGAAGAACACTAGAGTTTTATTGGACATGATAAATTATCACAAAGAGTGAATAAATCTCCACCAGCGCCAGCCATATCACCGATTGTCTCCAGCTTTGATTAGATCCTACCATCCCAAGGACCTAAACTAGCCAGTCATTAAGGCAGTTTACACCTCCCACCGTGACCGGCTGGCTTAAATTAACTGCTGTGGATTTGATTGGCTAATTAACCCATGTTTTGGTGTGACCACCACTAGCTAACTCGTCCATCCTATGTCAGCCAGTGGCTAACATCGCCCGTTGTCGAGGAAGGCGATGGCTGGGTAGGCATGCGCGATACATCTTCTAACCTTGTCAAAAGGTTGATTTCCTCTCTACCCCCTACGTAGCACTCGACCGATGCTCACCTCAATACTCTCACCGTTACACCTATTACGGCAGGTAGATAGAACGTAAGTACCTATGATCAAACACAGCTAGCTAGACTTTAATTGTCTCGCACTTTTAGTGGTCATGTCGCACCGCCGGTCAGCCAGCCTCAAAGGAGGACGGAGCTGACTGCTGACCAGTACACACGCTCTTTGGTAGACATCTGTCGACAGTCACTCCACTCCTGTCTATCTTTAAGCTAGGAGTGAATAAATTTAGTCCAGTCATATAGCATCCATCAGATTGCATTTGGCAACAAGAGTGAACCGCATGCCAAACTTTTGAAGATTACTGCTCACCTCAAAGTGTTGAGAAAACCGTGTCTGCCCTTTGTCAGCGTTTTCACCTAGAAGGATTATATCATCCGCATATTCTAAGTCAGCGAGACTATTATTCCCTGGCGGTGGTAGCAAGTCAATTCCCTGAGTCGCTTATGACGACTACCCAGATTTCTGTTTAATTTCATCATAGGTGGATGTGCTAATAGACCTAACCCCCCTAACCTCAGTAACTTTGGTTGGCTAGCGTCCTACCACATGCGATTTTCAGCATTAGCAGTTTATACTTATAATTGTAATCTCTTATTGAATAATAGAGATGCATGATTTTTCTAATAGATTTAACTTTTCGCTGCTGGATATGATGATTGAGTAGAAAGCGTTTCTATCCTAATATATATATATTTTCTATAAAAAATTTCTCTTTACATTTTGTATAGATTATATGCTCTTTCAAGACTTCTAGGAGTCTTTTGTGAATAACTCCTTTATATGGGTCGACGTCGAAGTACTAATAAACCACCACCGAAACGAAAACCTATTGTACCCCTGGATAAAGTATTCAACTGTCCCTTCTGTAATCATGGTCGGTCATGTGAAGTTGAATTGTAAGTCCTTGCCTTCTATCATCATATTTATTTAACTTCTTACTTACAGACGTCGTGATAACGGTGTTGGATATATTAAGTGTACTATATGCTTGGAAGACTTTCAAACAAAAATCAATTATCTAAGTCAAGAAATCGATGTCTACAATGATTGGATTGATGCCTGCGAAGAAGCAAATGCCTAAGGCATATTGATTTTCTCTTATTTAAAAAAAATTAATAATGTGAATGAATTATGTGTGCATTCTACACATATCAAAATTTACCACGGCAGCGTTAATTGTACAAAAAGAAATCTGTGATCATCCAATCATAGTAACCGGTATAATATGTAATAAATATGTATATGTAATACCTATTAAAAATGATATCTCGCTGTAACTAACTGTCTAAAAATAATGTATATATTCTTGTTTGACTTACAGACATAAAAAAATGTATATTGTTTATTCTTTGTTGATTTTTCGTAACAATTCTCAGAAAGAAAACTACTGAAGAAGGCTAATAGCGAATTCGAATACTGTGGTATCCATTCCGAACCAGTTATTATTACTCCCTTGCGTTTCGAGTGGAACATAGAGCTTCAGCAACACATCTCCACTTTCTTCTGTTTTACGCTGTCCTCTTCAGCTGCCTGGCCTGACGATTGCCCATAGTCTGTCATCTCCTCCTCCAACTCCCCCACACGATCTCCTCTAATGTCGCAATAGCACCGACCACCCACTTGTCTATCGCCTCTCATCGAGATTCCACTCGAGCAATGGCCTGTTATTCGACGGCTTCAGGCTTCCTCAACGTATGTCCGATCCATCCATCTCCATTTTCTTCTGGATATTTGTTGAGCAATCTGCAGCCCTTGGTTGGTTTGTTCATCGCCAGAGTCTCTTGTTGCTAATTCTTGCTGGCTGGCTGGCCATTGGATCTTCAGTATAGAGTCAGCTAGCAAAGATGGAAGTAGTTGGTCAAGGTTTGCATTGACCTGTTGGGAAGGCTTTTCGTGACGCGCAGTTCAAATTTTTGACTCATATGGAGGCACTAACTGACTTCACTGACATTTGTGTTGAACATCCAAATCTTGTTGTTTATGTTTGTGCGGAGTGAAGCAGAAGATTTCGAAACTGGTTTCAGGTTGATGGGGAAGGTGTACCGTGCCTTTCCGATTCTGGCTGGTTGGTTTTGACATCTTCGTCTGTTCCGACTGCCTGTGTTTAGAATGATGCTTGCTGCCTAGGCTAGATAAGTGAAGGTAGGAAGTAACCCCTGTCAGGTCTCTTTATCCCGTTGATGGTGGTTGGTTGTTTTCACTGGCTTCCTCCCCACCTTGTCTATATTCACCTGGATCGAGTCAGTTCTGTCTTCGCAGCCAGTCAGCTTCTTCGGCCAGTTTTCGCCTGCTTGCCTGTAAGTCTTCGAGGTTGTGTTTGTGTGATATTCAACGACATAAATCATCCACATGCGAAATCGAGATGTTCTAGAGTCTTGTTATAAGTCATTGCAGCGTATTCCTGTCTTCTCACTCACTCCAAACGCACAGTCTGACGCATAATCCAGTCCAGTCTACTACAATTACAAATATCATTGAGCCATTCTCACACTGGTAGGCAGGTACCTTTCCTTCCATTTTTTTTCATCTGCTATTCCATGTGTCCTTCTGTAGCCTTCTACAGCATTATTGATATCAAGTCCCTCGATAAGTAAGTGGAGTAGATTATTGACTATGCGGTTAACTGTCTTCTGAGTTCACCTCTTTTTTTTCCTCTGGCAGATTCATTACACTTCTTTACCGTATCTTCGCATTTATTTTGCAATCTAAGCAGCCCTGTAAAATGATCAAACGCTTCGCGGACATTCCATTTTAATATAGCAAAAATATTCATTCAGACATCTATAAAACACAAAATAATTGAACCAGCATAGAATATCCTTTTCGATAACTTCCTCCTCTTCTCGCTCTACAATTATATGCACAGAATATTCTAGAATAGTAGTTAATAAAAATATTAGTGTTTTTTAAATCATATCGATTTGTAAAGTAAGACCATAATGGAATTACCACAGTCCATTGAAGATGCTTAAATTATAATAATAAAGATATAGTAGAGAAGAGAATATCAGCTAAAATTAGGAAAATTCCAAAAAAATTCAGGATCATGCAAACCTAGATGGTCAAACGGGTAAGGATAATGTCTGAACTAACTTCTTTTGGATGCACAAGTTAGGCTTCTTAATATGGATCCCAAAAGCCAGCCTCAGCAATATTTAGTGGTCGAACTGCTAAGTCAAAATTGAGGTTCGTTGGTATGTGGTAAATGACCCTGAAAGCATGGTTAACATCAATCAGTCTTGTGTTGTGTATCCACAAGATCAGTGAGATAGAATAGCGCTGAGAATAGGTTTTGTTTGTCCTTTGCTTAACCACTATGCAGGGTAATGTTCGGAAATTCGACGAGAAACACGCCTAATTGTACGTCCTATGCAAGTAACTGGCTCACTCCACAGGAGCAGTTAAATTGATAGATACACATGGAAGAGGCGAAATTAGGCAGTTTGTCTTTTACTCCCGAACGCAAAAGAGGAGTGGTTTTAAAGATACGGCGTAATTCGGCAGCAGGGAATTCTCTCGGCGAATTTCCGAACATTACCCTGCGTGGTTAAGTAAAGGACAAATAAAATCTATTCGCAGCGCTATTCTATCTTACTCATCTTGTGGATACAAAACACAAGATTGACGTTAACCAGGCTTCCGTTGTTTAGTGTTTGGTGTGTCTCAGTAGCATATTTATCACTCCCGCCCTGTGACACGGCAGCAGGAAGCACGGTTGTTGTTAATCTGGCCCACAGCCGATCCGGCATGATATTTTTTGATTTTTTTTTGTATCATGAATTGGGTAGCTACTTTTTGTTTAACCGCTATCCAAACAACTTGCCTGGCATGGTAGGACCTGAGGAGACATAGGTCTCAGCCATTGCGGTGTTCAAGCCCGACCACCACGTCAAGGTAGCAGCTTTCGGTCGGGTAAACAGGGGAAATGAATCGACGAAGTCGTGAAGTTACAAAGACTGAGATGGTTAGGACATGTGTTACTCATGCATGCCTAGTCATTGCCTTCCTCGACGAGCAATGTTACTGGATATAGGGTCAGGCTGGTAAAAAGCTAGCGGAGGTCATATAAAAACATGGCGCCAGTCAATGAAATCTACAACAGTTAGTCTAAGCCACGTAGGAAGGTGTAGAATTCCTGACTGATTGGGGTCCCGACCGAAAGCTGCTACCTTGACGTGGTGGTCGGGCTTGAACACCGCAATGACCTAATCAAGCTATACTGGCTGAGACTTATGTCTCTTGAGGTTCTACCATGCCAGGCAGGTTGTTTGGATAGCGGTTAAACAAAAAGCAGCTACCCAATCCAACATCATGTCCAATACAAAATTTCATGCCGGATCGGCCGTGGCCCGGATTAACAACGACCGCGCTTCCTGCTGCCGTGTCACAGGGCGGGAGTGATAAATCTGCTACTGAGACACACCAAACAAAAAAGAACGAACAAAAACAGGCCGCGTGTGACCGGCCTCAAGCAGTTGTCCCCTGGGCTCTGCGGTCACGCAACCAACTTCCACGGTGTGGGCAGCCGGGAAGTAACAATCGCCCTCACAATCCGAAATGCACACGAAACCTCTCTATTACTCACTCATCTTTGTCTTCATCTTCATCTCTATCATCTTGCCTTCCTTCCACTGATGCAACTCCTCGACTTGATAGCTCTCCACTTCCTCTCCACTCTGCGTCCACTAAAAACGATGGAAGCCAAAAAACCACCACCGACAGCCTCTTAAAGCCGCGCCACCAATTTCATATAGGAGCTCTTAATGTTAGGACACTTTGCCAAATAGGACAACAAGCATCACTAGCCAAGACCCTGGCATCACGAGCCATTGATGTATGCTGTGTTTCAGAAACACGCATACAAGACCCAAGTGTGGTTATTCACCTAACCCCACCTGGCCAACAGGTTGAATCTGCAAAATTCACCTTGAGGGTGTCAGGAGATGCCACAGCTAGTTCACGAGGATTAGCTGGCGTAGGGATAGCTTTGAGTACTAGGGCAGAAAAGACATTGCTTGACTGGATCCCGGTAGATAGCCGAATGTGTGCTGTCCGCCTGAACGGATCAGTAAGAAGGAGGAAGGACTGCACTACTCGCCGATGCCTTTTCGTAATCTCCGCCTACGCCCCCACTGACTGCAGTTCAGATGAAACGAAGGATGAGTTCTACCAAAAGCTGTCTAGTTTGGTGGAAAGGCTAAACGCTCAGACATAGTCGTTCTAGCTGGTGACTTTAACGCTCAAGTAGGGAAATTGTGTCAATCTGAGAAGGATGTCGGTGGCACCTATGGAGCTCCGTGCCAGCGAACCGACAACGGTGACCGTCTCCTACAGTTCTGCTCTGATAATCATTTGTTTCTTGTAAGCACTAACTTTAAACACAAGGAGAGACACTGTTTGACTTGGAGACCCCCTTCATCAAACCAACGCTGGACACAAATAGACCACATAGCAATAAGCTATCGTTGGCGTGGGTCGGTAGGAGATTGTCGCTCCTTCTGGAACACGTGCGTAGATACCGACCATGCACTGGTCCGCGCTCGGGTGTGCTTACGACTGAACGGACGTAGGAAACAGCTGGCGGTAAAACCATCACGTCCCCAGCTCGATCAGGAAACTAAATCCGTATTTCAGGAAGAACTAGCTAAACACATATCTGTGTTCGACAGCTGTGCTCACCCTGAAGAAGCTTGGAAAAATATCCAGGCAGCCATAGATACAGCTGTAAAAGCTGTGAATAAGGTAAACCCAAAGGTGAGTAAAAACCACTGGATCTCCACCGCCTCATCCGAACTGATAGATGCTAGAAGACTTATTCCGGCGAGCTCCGAATTCAATGAGGAGCGAAAGCTGCACAAGAGGAAACTTACGAAAAGTCTCCGCAAGGACCGTGAACAGTGGTGGGCGACAAAAGCCAAAGAGATGGAGAAAGCTTTGAGGATAGGCAACACCAGGCAACTCTTTGGACTCATCAGGGAAACGGGTGGGAGAAGACAAATCATTAGTGAGACAATCTCGGAAAAAAATGGCACTATAATTAGCTCCAGGATAGACGACTGGATCGTTGGAAAGAGCATTATG